TAAGAAAAATGTCGGAAACAGATGGGATTTCTTTATGATCAATTACTATCAAATAAATACTGTGTATTGGCTTTATTAGACCTAATATAATTTGATTAAAGTTATTTATAATTTTATGCACAAAGAATGAAAACATACCCCACGCTCCCCCAAAAGTCGAAGTGCTGAAATTCCCAGAAAAAAATAAAGGAATCGTAATTTCCTTGTTATATGCACATCTATGCACTTTGTGTCCTAAATATCTGCAAAGTTTGACGAAATTGTGTGCAGCGGTTTATGAGGAATTGCGCTGAAAAACTGCTCATCTTTATATTCAAGATATGGCCAAAATCTAAATGTAAACGTGCGGAAATTCCTGAAAAAATAAAGAATTTGGAATTTCCTGGTGATGTGCAAAGACTCCTATAAATATCTCGAAAGTTTGACAAAACTCTGTGCATTGGTTTTTAAGAAGTTGTGCTGACCAAAAAAAAGGGCTGACTGATGGGTCCAAAACATTATACCTCATGCAACTTGTTGCGAGGGGTATAATAAACGAGTTTGATTCTGTGGTACAGTGATAATGAAAACAGAATTTAATGTGAATTAAATTTCTAGACATAAATAATTAATGATTACTAGAAAAAACACATAGAAAGAGAGAGGAAACCCCCCGTGAGGATTTCCGCATTCTACCTACAATTACCTTTATAAAAATTCATTGTCTGTTGTCCAGGTCCAGGTTCGACTCGTACGTTTGAGCATAGCTGTCGGAACTGGGGGTTGGCTTTTTTTACAAATATATACATAGTATAGACATTCAACATGTCTGCGTAGGTTAAGTCCCCCCCCCCCCCCACGTTCCACAGACAAGTCGCAGTTTAGGTTAAAAAAGAGGAAAGTGCTGGTGTTTGGAGAAAAATTTTGTTACTGAAGTTCGAACCTACCCCGTCCCCCTCCCACCCCTTTCCCCCACACGAAATAGGATATTCGTGTTTTGGAAAAGGACATTTCCCCCTTTTTTTAAGCTTTTCAGATTTTTTGAGTGTATAAAAAATTTTCTTTGCACTTAGGCCCCCCCCCCACTTTCAATTTGCTTCCAATGCGTTTGAGAAGGTATTTGAGAAAGTTCCCAATATACCCATTCCTGTGATGTGTATTTTGCGCTTATTATATCCCCCGCTTGAAAAGTGGGAGGGTATTTAGTAATAGTTTTGTCCGTCCGTCGGTCTGTTACGCTTTCGGGTACCCATCTCTTATCTGCAAATCCTCTTATACCACTTAGTGAAATTTAATAAAACTTTCACAGAATCTTAGGTTTATTACATATTACCATTGTGCACCTCCTATTTTACTCTTTGATCCGACACGTATTTTGGGTTTAGCGACAACAGCAAAATATGGACTTTGCCATTATAACCATATGGGAGGCGGGGGTATCATTTAGTGAGCCCATTGCTTACAATACCTCTAGTCTCTCTTTCAATTTGGCCGTTTGGGTTAAACTCTCGTCCAAATTAAAATTATTATTCAATTTACGATGTTTCGACATCCCGCCTGAAAAAAATCCTTGATCTGTCCTAAGGCTTAATAAATGGACAGCACAAAGTGCGTAGGAGCTTATACCTATTGTCTTCCCACAAATTTTTATTAAAATAGAAAATTTGGTGTTATGACTATTTCACCAAATTTTCTATTTTGATAAAAATTTGTGGGAAGACACTATTATTGCCCTAAGAGATGGTTACAGGGAGAGAGAAAATTCAATATACAAAAGAGTAAATAAAAATTATCCGTATTCAACCAGTGTCAAGAATCCCTACCCTTGCTTTTAAAATTATCTCCCAAATACTCCTACAGAAATTATTTATATATATATAAAAAAAATAGCTAGACTATCAGGCAGGGATACTGAAATCTCGAAAGACTCTCTATAAAAACATAATTATAAAACATTTATATTCCTCAAAATGCACATAGTTTGTGGTCGGAGTGACACATTTAAAAAAAATTCAAAATTGACTTCGGCAGAGATGTCTGTCTTCCAAGAATATTTAGATCACGGTCATGTCAATTATTTTTGCACCCACCCCCCTCGCCTAAAAAATCAAATGCCTAAATGTCAATCTGAACAAGGGATGACATTTCTTCGTGTGTTTGTTTGTTAAAGAACGTATAGATCTATGTACACACAAAAAAATTGTATTCTGGTTAATTGCTTTAAAGATTTGAAGTCAATAATAACCTTACATCAAATTACTTGGTTTAGATTTGAGATTATACTAAAATAATCAGTTATAATTGACAAATGAATTTTGCGACGCAAACCAACTGCAGACTATATACATGACTTTGTATAGAATGTATATTAGAACTACATGTAGATAGACAATTCACAATTATAGCTTATGGACATCAGTTATAATACCCCTCCCCCCCCCTTCAGCCTATCAGATACCAAATAACTTCTCTTTCCACTTGTGATATTTTCCCTGACCAAAATCTGATCAGCACGGACTAAGTGTATCGACTTGCTAGTCTGTACGGAGTAATGACAGTGTGTTTACTATCGAGCTTTTACGGAGTTTATTTCTTTTTTGTGATGCATATTTCAATAAATGGAATTCAGGATGTATATCACTTGACTTGTGCACATCTTCGAACCGATGCAGTAACCTTATTACCAGGTATGAGTACGTTTACAGCGTTCGAGGCGTTTTCTCGATATGCATCAATTGCATAGGACCTGCAAATCAAAGACGTTGGTTGTTTTGTTCCATTCAAATTATATAATATAAAATTGTGTTTTATGATTGAGCAGATTTTACTGCTTTTTATTTCAAGGTTTTTTTGCATAAATTGGCGCACTGTAAAAATATGTACTCGTGCATCTAAATTTCTCACCAAACTTGCATTTTTTTCTTTTGATTCAAATCAATAATTATTTAGAAATATAATTATTATTTTGTTTATTGTGGTTTTGAAATGTCTTGATCTCCTTATGGGTTCTCATAAAATTATGCTTTACCATCGGAGATGTGCACAAGTCGATACCCAAACCAAAACATCATTCAACTGTAACGAGCGCATTGGGGTATATATCGTTACAATGAGACTTAAGGTATCTGAAAGAAATATGGCGGAATACGCTATATTTGGTATGAAACAAGTCGTACATAGATGAAAATGTTGAGTTTTTAAGACTTCATGTCAGCTTTAACTGTGCTTAAATTTTTTTTAAAATCGGGATCGAAATCCCTCGCATTCCTATTTATATGATTTAATGTCTTTATATAAGTTTATTAGAAAAATTGACCATTAGAGGGGGGATTTCTCCTGTACATTAAATATAACCATAGTCTTCTATACTATAATCCAATAATTATAATATAAACTAGATACTCTTGTTGCTACAGCAACAAATAAGGTCTTCCGTTCTTCAGACTTCTTAATTGTAATATAAAAAAAAATAAAGGATAAAATATCATCTAGGCTCGATCCCAAAACCATTCGAGCTAACCACTTCGAGTTCAAAAAAGGTTTTTTGTAAACTTATCATTTTAAGGTAGAAGGAAGTAGTTTATTAAAACTCATTCTATAAAATATATATATGGGATAGTATGATAATTAATAAAGTTTTTTCTCATAACCGGAAGTTGCTGTTTTTGTTTCTTTTGGGACGGACATATATCGGAACAACAATTAAAATGCAATAGTGTGATGAGAATTAAAAGAAAAGTTAAAACTTTTTTGATCACTTCCTGTGACGACCGGAAGTGACGGCAGACAATCTTATCTTAATTGTTTTTGCCAACTCATCAAGATTAACCACTTTATTTTTTTCATCAGTACAGCTATTTTTTTTACTAGACCGGAAGAGTTTTGAAGTGGAAGTTTTTATCAAAAATCATTTATTCATAAATGAAGATAATGGAAAGAAAAACACTGAAATTATTTTCTTTTAACCGGAAGTTGTCTCTTTTTGTTTTTCAAACAACGTATAATTGAGGCTAAAACAGTTTCATAACAGAAAATAAAATGAAAGCAAATATCTTATTAAAGAGAAAAGACAGTTTATTTCTCTTTTCTCGAGATCTAGCGTTGATAACTTCTCACTTTGAGGACCGGAAATCACGCGACCGGAAGTAAATTTTACTAAAATATTTGACGTTACTGTAGACATTTGCAGTAGGAAAAATTCCAAAAACCATTTCAAATACATTACGATGGGAAGAAAATATGCAGTTTTTCTCTTATAACCGGAAGTTGTCGTTTTTGTTTCTGGTGAGACTGATATATTTCGAAAGTACAAACAAGATGCTATAATGTGATGCAAAAAAATTTCAAAAAATAAAAAGTTGAAAATTTTGATTTCTTTACATTGTAAGTAATAATGATAATAAATAAATTAAAAAAAGCAAAAACAAAACAACAATGACGTATTAACAAATCAACAACTAATTTTCTTAAATTTATATTTAATATAAACTGTGTCCTAGCAAGTACGTTAGGATTTTCAGATTACGCTTACTACATGATAAACGTATGACGTCGCGTCAAATTCTTCGCAAAATTTCGACGTTCTGCTATAAAAGGTACAGTATTGAGCGTTATTTTTCCAATGCTTACTTTTGAGTCTATAAAAGGTATATAAATTATATATCAGGTATATAAAATATTTAATTCTAAAAATTCTAAGCTATTTAAAATGTTTTGAACGGGGCAGGTCTGACAGCCGGCATTTTTTGGCCAATACCGTACTTTGTTCTTCACGAACATGTACTTCCGGTTTTAAGATGAACAGGGCGGGTAAATAAAGGTATATCTGCCAAGTTCATAGCAGCACCATAGCTTGATTTAGTGTAAAAATTTAGAGATAGGAGTGGCATTCTAAGCGTTTCACTCATTCAGAGGACAAATAAAATGCTTACGACTTTGTTGCACAATGACATGATGGTGAAATAATTATGTATTCAATGACATATACAAAAGTGTGTGTGCAAATTATTTTTCTCCCACAGGTTTAAAACTGCTTGTGGTAGCTATTGACAGCGAGATGGTTTAGGTCTCTGTTATAGCTTACAGTCTAACCACGGGACTTTTTCATTCTGATGTTCGTAACTAAACCTAAAAATAAAAGAAAAATGCTGGCCTTATGATAAAGAAAGGTGTCTCTTTCAAAATGGATAATTTCATGGCCCCTGGGTCAGGGGTATCGTGGGATGGGATAGTTTTCTTTAAATAAATTAATGCTTTGAAATCTGCTCTTTGATAAGCAATGGTGCCTTTTTCAAAATTGTGAATTTCACGGCTTTTTGATTAAAACACGAACCAAATTTAATTGTGGAAAGTTGTTGCATGATGCTCAGGTGACCTAAAAGGCCCATGGGCCTCTTGTCTGTATAATATTACGACTTACATATTTTAAAAGCATTTCGCACAAAAATAAATTAAAAATATTATTTCATTTAAAAGTTATGAAAACTTCAAATTTTTACATCACTTTCACATATTTAACTTTTATTCATTATACTTAGGAACAGTGGCAATCTTGTTGTATATACATGTATTGTGAAATTTCTAAAGCTATAATCCAGAAAATTCAGAAATGTCCGAAAGCAAAACGTACACACAGTATATTGTCAGTCCGTGCAGTTGTGGTGAGTGGGCATTAACGATCGAACGCACCTGGTAAATCCTAAACATCAACAATAACAGAGCTTGTACCCTGTTAACAAAAACTGTACGTTTAACGGGTGTGACAATTTGTTAAAAGCTGTACACAACATTTAGCTCGAACAACGATTCTTGTAAAGGAGTTTTGCTTTGTAACATTTCTTCTCTGAACAAAATAATTTTTCTGGATGAAGTTTACATATATCTCCTTAATACACAACAAGATTGTCAAAATTAAAATTTGTGAAAGTAAAAGAATGTGTGAAGCAAAACCGCCATAAAATTTGAAATTTTATTAACATTTAAATGAAATGTGATTTTTAATTTATTTGTGTGTGAAATGCTATCAAAATATAAGTCGTGACACTATACAGAAAATAGTAACTTCAAATATTTGTAATCCCGTGAGGATCAGGGTTAGAATAGGTCCTCCCCTTGCTTGTCGTAAAAGGCGACTAAATGGGGCGGTCCTTCGGATGAGACCGTATAAACCGAGGCCCCGTGTCACAGCAGGTGTGGCACGATAAAGATCCCTCCCTGCTCAAAGGCCATAAGTGCAGAGCATAGGCCCAAATTTGCAGCCCTTCACCGGCAATGGTGACGTCTCCATATCATTGAAATATTCTGGAGAAGGACGTTAAACAGTATACAATCAATCAATCAAATATGTGTCCATGCACCTTTAAAAGGAAGTTTAGTAACACAGGCTAAAATATTGTCAAAGTGCAGGTTTAAGTTCTTTGTTGTGAAAAAAAATGCTTGGGTTTGTTCTTCATGAGATGTAATCGATAAATTTAATTTTTCGAGGGTGATTTCACACGATATCAACATAGTATTATTTTTTGTGTGACCTAACAAAAATTAAATACTTTTACAACTGCTACTTACTTTAAGTTAAGCTTTGCTTAATACATGAGAATAATTTTATTGATTTTGATATTTGTTATTCCTTTTCTGCGAAGTTAGCTTCATTTTAGTAACTAGTGTTTTTTTTTTTTTTGCACTTATGTACCTCATTTGACTAGTTCCAGTTGGGTTCATCATTTTTACTATGTTTAATTTTTTTTCAGAGAGAGGTGAGTGATTCCAGTACTCCTGTGGCCTCTGGGCAAAACCTAGAAGGCCGGTCTAGATTTGCAAAACTTGGTATGGCTACAAATGATGTGTTAAATAAGGCATGCAGAGATATTCTAGAATCAGAGATTCCTGCATCTGACATTGAGAACAAGGTGAATTTATTATCAAACAAAGAAAGGAAGAATATGAAATTGTATACACATCAAGAAGATATTTTGAAAAAAGCCAACAATTCTGGATATGAAGAATTTGATATTTCATTAACATACAAGTGCATTAGAAACATTTGTTCAACGATCCCTATGCCAACAAAAGGAAAATGGGGAGATGACAGTATGCCTGCAGCAGGAAAGGTGACAGTGGGTGACGATATCGAGAGAATTAGATTAATTCGAAATGAATTGACTGCACATGTGAGCTCAGCCTCCACACCGCAGAAAGAATTTGATGACACTTGGTCGATGATGTCGGATATCTGTCGAAGACTGGAAACCTTCACTGGAAAGAAGTACTTAGATGATCTTAAATTCCATTGAAAAACTTACCTTAAGAAGAGAAGACGAGAATGCTATTATAGAAAATGTCAAAATGCAAGAAATCTTGGAGAAAATGAAATCAAATGTGCTCGAATTTGAAAAAATGCTCAAACCTAATGCGGGTGCTACAAATTAGGGACTCTTAGAATGCTGTATAGAATGCCAAAGAATTCACAAACAGTTTAAATTTTATGTTAGGTTTTTGATATATGGAACTGAGATGTATTAGAAACTGAATTCAAGGTTCGAAACATGGATAAAAATCAAAATGCTGAATATGCTATGAATTCAATCTTTAAACAATGAATATTTTTCAAACTTTGTAGAATTAACGAATACCATTAGAAATTAGAAATTGTGTTTTTTATATCAATTTTTCAAATATATATATATATATTTTTAAAATTTCCTGTTTAACAAAAAAAAAATGAAATTAAAGTCTGGACGTAAAATTTAGGAATGATTTTTCTGAGATTCATACATGTACATTGTACCAATTTAAATATAGTTTGTGCTGGAAAATGTGCCTTGACCTAGTTATGAAGTTAAATGGCACTAAACAATGACCTAATTATATTTATAAAACATGAAGGTTAAAATATGACTCATCAATAGCTCATCATGACTCATCAATAGCCAAGCTGACTAAATGAAAACTTTTTTTTAATTTTTTAAAAAGTGAATTTAAAATTTTCACTATTTCAGCTTATTTGTTGGTAAAATACCTAGGTTTTATAAATGTTTGTGCTCAGAGCATGCTCTTATTGGATAATTTTGGAAAATATTGTATGTTGATGATAGTGAAATATTATTACATGTACCTAAATAATGCCTGTGATGGGGATGGCCGATAGTCAGATAGTTAAGTTGATCTGGAGCCATTATGATGATTCAAACATGTTCATTCAAATACAAATGAGATGTGGTAGAATCAGTGATGTCTTTTTAGTTAAGCATATTCAGAGATTTTAGTCTCCACAAGATGATGATTTGTGGAATGTAACTACTTGTATATTTGATCGATGAAATATATGGAGGCAAGTTGTCCTTTAAAAAAGGATTAAAATATATGTGTGTGTTTTAAACCGAAATTCATTTTAAAAAAATTCTAAGTTGATTGAAAACTAATGTGTAGGTTCGTTCAAAACTTCTACAATGATCTGCCTAATTTGACTGATAGTACTATCATAGCAAAATTAATTGTTACACTTTATCTCTCATTCGACTATTGTTTTGTCATTAAAAAGTCGGGCTATTTTAAAACATATAAC